GTGAGCGGCTGGGAGCCCCACTCAGAACCTTCTGCGCTGACAGAGATGGATCTGATTTGATTGGCCTTCCTTCCTCCCTTCCTCCTTCCCTTTTTTTCCTTCCTTCCTTCCTTCCTTTTTTCCTTCCTTCCTTCCTTCCTTTTTTCCTTCCTTCCTTCCTTTCATCCCTCCCTCTTGCTCCTTCCTCCCTTTTCCTTCCTTCCTTCCTTCCCCCTCTCTCTTGCTCCTTCCTTCCTTCCCTCTCCCTCGTACCCCCCCCTCCCTCCCTCCTACTCATTCCTTCCTCTCTTCCTCCCTCTTGCTCCTCCCTCCCTCCCTCCATTTTTCCTTCCTTCCGTCCTCCCTCCCTCCATTTTTCCTTCCTTCTTTCTTTCTTTCTTTCTTTCTTTCCTTCCTTCCTTCCTTCCATCCATCCATGAACCTGGGGATCCCAGGGCTTCTGTGGGTTCCAGACCTTTTCCCAGGCGATACGCTGATGCCCCCAAAGACCCTCCATTTGGGGGAGGGGAATGCCCCCCAACCCATCTGATTCAGCCAGGTCCCCCCAGAATTTGGGGATGTCACCTTTCAAGGGGTGTTTCTGGGGGGGGTGAGGGTGTTGCCCAGGTTTGAGAAAATCTCTTCCCCCCCCCCCCCCCACACCCCCCCCCTTTTGAGAGGCCCCCCCCCCTGGTTCCCAACGGAGGAAAGGGGGGGGGGGAGCCGGAGGGGCTTCGGGCTGACGTTCCCCCCTCCCCCTGCAGGCAGTGGCTGGCCGATGCCCTGAAGGAGAATGACCCGTCCAGCGTCCTCCTTTTCCTGGTGGGCACCAAGAAGGACCTCAGCGTGAGTGGGGGGGGGTGAAAGGGTGGGGAGATGCCTGGGTAGCCCTTCTTCGCTTCGGAGGACGGCCATGAGTTTTAGTCCTGCCTTCGATAGGAGACTTCGGGCCAGTCGCTCTCCCTCAGCCTGGCCCACCTCGCAGGGTGGTTGTTTGGCGCAAAATAGGAGGAGGACGAGGTAGGTCCTCTCCTTTGAGTTATTTAGTAAAAATAGTAAAGTAAAATAAATGTAAAGTTAAATAAATAAATTTAAATAAAAGTTAATAAATAATTTATTGGTTTATAAAAAATAAACGAAAATCAATCCAAGGGGTGTCAGGAAGGGATTATGGGACACTTATGTAGGCCGCTTTATAAAAAGCCAGCATTTCCTAACGTGGGGACTGTCCACCTGCCTCTTCCGGATCCCAGAATTCCTAACCAGATGGGAATTCTGGGAAGTGAAGTCCACCAAAGCTACCGAGCGGGGTGGGCACTGCAGCCGGGGTGGGCAAAGAATGGCCACCAGACGCCCTGTGGACTTCAAATCCCAGAATTCCTTAGCCAGCCTGGCTCAGGAATTCTGGGAGTTGAAGTCCACAGGCCGTCCAGTGGCCATCATTGCCTGCCCCTCACCCGGGGGTCTGTTACCTGCGTGATCTGCTCCCGTGTTTCATACCTCAGGTGCCCCCCCTGTGTCCCCCCTCAGCCTTCCTCTTTCTCCACAGACACCTGCGCAGTACAAGCTGATAGAGCAGGACGCCCGGAAGGTGGCCAAGGAGATGCAGGCCGAGTACTGGGCCGTCTCCTCTCTCACAGGTAAGCAGCACCTGGATCACCCATCCGTGTCTGCAGAGCCTGGGGGCCCTTGGTCTCTGTGGAAGGGCTGGCAGGTCACCTTTGTTGTTATCTACCTATCTATCTATCTATCTATCTATCTATGTAACTATCTCTATATTTGCTGATAGAAATAGATGATAGATAGATAGATAGATAGATAGATAGATAGATAGATAGATAGATAGATAGATAGATAGATAGATAGATATAGTTAAATAATCTATTTCTATCTATTTATTTCTATGTATATCTATCTATCTATCTAATCTATTTCTATCTATCTATCTATATCTCTATATGTTGATAGAAATAGATAGATAGATAAATAGATAGATAGATGATAGATAGATAGATAGAGATAGTTAAATAATCTATTTCTATCTACTTATTTCTATCTATCTCTATCTATTTATCTCTATCTCTCTATCTCTCTATTTCTATCTCTATCTACCTATTTCTCTCTCTCTCTCTCTTTCTCTCTCTCTCTATATATATATCTATCTCTATCTATCTATCTATCTATCTA